ACACACACACGCGCGCGCGCGCGCGCGAGCGCGCACACACACACACACACACACACACACACACACACACACACACACACCTGGGCTGGTTATCCTAATCAGCACAGGTCACGACTAAGATATTGCAGCACATAAAGCAATAAAGTTTTAACTCAACATTTTTTCCTTAAAAGAGTCTTCTCTCTGTAAGAGCTATCAATGCAATGCTGGAGAGAGTGTAGTCTGCACGATAGCGTGCGCGCGCGTGCATACACGTCCCCATACAAGTATAACGAACTACCCTCCAAACGTTCGCAGTTATATAGTGCATTTTTCACATCGTCTTGCCCTTTCTTTTCACCTCCCATAAAATCGCCAACCTTAATCAACTGTCTTGCGACCTGCATGGAAAATGCAGGCGTACAATTATGATAGCGTTGAATTATAAATTGCAGCAATTTCCTCTCAGGCGATAGCCCGAGCAATTTTCTTCGATCTCGCATCACAGCGGCTATGCGGTGCAATAACGTTAAAACGGTGCGTTTCTTTTACAGAGACGTCGAGAGAGAAATATAGATAATTATGTAGAATATTACTTTATGTGTCTGTTTTTAGTTTTATGCGTCCGGCCTCTCCGATTCTGCACAAAATAAATACCCCCCCGATCACAGCTCGATTAATTTACTCGGGTAATATAATCACTTAATTCGGTTTACAACATTTTCGCAACGCGTCGTCATCTTTCTTTTCTGTTGCCCTTCGCAGATATGAAGCAGTAAATCTATGGGATTGTATAGATACTTTACTTCCTCGGATGTACTGCCAGATAAATGGTTTTGCTCGCCCGAATGATAGACGAGCATATATATATATATATATATATAGACCTGCAATTTACCTGGGAGCTGCGATCAAACACGAACGCGAGAGTTCGCGCCAAAGCTCGCGCGTATGTGTTCATATTGTCGCGATGATTGATATTCAATTATTTGACACTAATCGTGTTTAGCTATCCCCAGAGCAATATAAGCTGTCTATAGCTGGGGTAATGTTACCTGGTTAGCGTTATCCGACAGGCTGGCTAGAGCAGGGTATAACCTGGTTAACGGTATCCGACAGGGAGTATTAATCGACAGGGATTATTAATTTGTATGTTTACGCGTCTCTTGAACTGGCTCCTAATTGATAAACGTTACTAAAAAACCGAGCGCCACTAGAAAAAGGTGTGAATGGGTGGATGGGTGGGGCAGGAGATTATAGAATCTAAATTGCACGCGTGTGTGCCATCCATGTAATACTTATTGATGGCTTATACACATTTTAATTTAGATAAAAGCAATCATTTTTTCCTACACACTTAAACGCTAATGAACAGGATGTTTAGTAAAGGGTAAGGATTTCACACTAAGCCTCATTGTAGCGTATAATGGCTCGTAGTGGTTAAAGCGCATGCGCATCTCGCATTCCCCGCCACGACGAAGACGCTTTGAGTGAAACAACCCATGATTATTAGACAGGGAAATGAGGTTGGGAGCTACACAGATGTATTCGACGTCTACTCATCGACGGTTCTCACGCCAACATGTTCTGCTTGCATCTATGACAAATACGACATACGCATATACGATCGACTTCCAAAATATTTGTCATAGGAAGAATCTTCCTATGACAAATAGTGTCATAGGAGAGCGTATATGCGTATGTCGTATTTGTCATGAATGCTAGCAGAACAGTCTACTCACGCGACTATCGTAGACGCCTAGAAACTCCGGTCTCATCTCGGAGGCGGCAAACAGCGCCGCGTAGTGGGCGGTGTACGATGACAGCACCAGTATGGAGACGAACGCCCACGAATAACTGACCAGCTTCGACGACCACAGCTTCGGGATCTCCGTGTTGACAGTGTTATTGAAGAGTAACGCCCAGTGATGCATCAGCGCAGAACCGAAGTTGAACTGGTCGACGTGGCGGTTGTTAGGCGGCAGTACCAGCCGACGTCCCCACCACTCCAGCGACGTCATGCAGAGAGCGTTGAGGACCATGCAGAGCCCGATCACGAGCCATAGCTGCGGATGAATATTACCGAGTGGCGCGAGAAACGCGAGAAAGTTCGGTTTGTTGTTCGGTCGGTTGGCAACGAGGAAAGAGTAGCTGGAGCGGAAGAATGGCGACGAGAAATCGATCACCTCGCTGCGGGCGGCAGTCAGCGACAGCGCGCTGCAGGCGATGTCGGCTGCCCGGCTGACGACGTCGCCGACGGCTCCCGTCCAGTTCGACTGCACGAAGGTTCCGAAGCGGCCGTCGGAGACGAGGTAGACTTCGTACTCGAAGCCGATGCTCGCGCTGAGCATGCGCAGTAGGTCGATGCTGAATCCCGTGCAGCAGTGCACCGTGTAGGGCGCGCCACCGTCGCGCTCGTTCGCGTAGTCGTGAAAGATGGCGGCGATGGTGGCGCCGTCGGCGGTGTACACCTGCAAGCAGACGACACCCGTGCTGCACGTGCGGCCGTCCGACGTCCCGCCGACAAACACGAACGGCTCGACGCGCAGCGTGACGACGCGCAGCTTCCGCCAGAGCGGATATCGTCGGCTGAGCACCGGAAACGCGCTGCTCGTCACGCGCTCGGCGTTCACTTGTTCGATGCTCAGCAGCCCTCCGTCCATGAGTCTCTCTATCGTGAGCTGCAGCGTGGGGGCCGGCAGGGCGCCCGCCTCCGCCGCGGGGCTCGGCAGGAGGTTCTCGTAAACGGTCTGCGGCAGCAGCGCGTCGGTCATCACCGGCTCGTCGTCGGCGCCGCAGCACTGCCCCCTGACGGCGACCTCGGATCCGATCAGGCCTCTCGAAGCGGATATGGCGTCGGCGAGTCGGCGCAGGGATGCAGCGAGCATCTTCCGCATGGGAAAGATCCCGCGGGAGCTGACAACGAGGAAGCTAGGAGGGAGACCGCGCGCGTCCTCCCGCGTCAGCGCCTCCCCGTAGCGATTCACCCACAGCCAGACGACGTCGTAGATGTCGTGCAGCGCCGCGTAGCGGCCGACGAGCAGCAAGACGTCCTTGGAGCAGTAGAGGACGAAAACGCGCGCGCGGTTGTCGGAGTTCCCGAGGACGTCGGCAACGCGCGCGTAGTCGACCGTCTGCGCGACGAAGTACGTGTTGACGACGTTCCACTTGTCGTCACCGCCGACGCGACCGGCGACGACGCGGAGGAAGAGGTGCGACGACAGCGTCGTGTCGGCGATCAGGGAGAACGTGTACCAGCGGTTTTCCTCGAGCGCGTTGAGCGCCGCACTGGCGAAGTGCGTCGGTGACGGATACATCTGTACGAACCAGTCGGCAAAACTCTGTACGGAAAAAGATGGTGACAATGAGAGAGGGAGGGAGAAAGAAAGATTGAGAGAGAGAAGACAGAGAGGGGCAAGAGAGAGAAAGAGAGAGAGAGAGAGAGAGGTGGAACGAGAAAACGAAAGAAACGAGAGAGAAA